TATGAAGGTGAGGCAGTCTGACGGACTTTTTAAGGAATAAAGCAGCATTTTTGGTGGTAAAGTTTGATATAGGGGCTTAAATGAAAAGGATGAGGGACCATAATGACGAGCAAACAATTAACAATATTTTACTTTTAGTTGATTTAACTTCTTGCTTAAAGATACAGACAAACACTGTAAAATATTATTTAAGAAACATTGACAAAGAAGTGCCTTTCCTATTAACATGGGGAAAACATATGCATTCAATTAGAATAGGTTTGTTTTATTTAGCATATAATTAATGTCATTCTTATCATTTAAAAAAAAAAAAATCCTCTCATTTTTATTATTCGTAATGGTCTCTGTTTTTTTTAATCACTTTTAATTATATATTTGATTATCTGCTTTCATTTTATTGTCCTTCTGCCTTTTTTTTTATAATGTCTTGTCTTTGTTTTAAAGCACAACATCTGTTAAATAAATGGTATTCTCAAGAGACTAAAACACCTTCATGTTATTGCTGCTACTGCAAATGTGGTATTTATAACAGGTCGAAAGTGAGAAATGTAAATATGTGATACTAACCGTGTGTGTCACTATCAGTAACTGAGACAGAAATGACTTGTGGGTAATGTAGCTCGTGATCTGTGCAGGTGGTTCTGTGTACTGACGGCCGAGCCAACATTGGGCTGGGAGAGATGGAGAAACCTCCCTCTCTCTCCTCTCTCTCCCCCTCCTCCTTCACCCCTTATTTCTACAAACAGCTGGCTCAGCAGGCGGTGGAGAGCGGGTGAGCTTGTTTTGCACCTGCATGCTACGTATATATTAAAACATGACATTCTAATAAATCAAAGCTTCTTTCTTGTCTTCCTGCAGAGTCATAATATCCGTGATGACGTTTGAAGGGACTGATTGTCGTTTGGCCGACGTTGGGAGGTTTGCAGACACAACTGGAGGAAGGGTGAGACACGTGCAGACACTGAGGGACATTTTTGAATTGTGAATAGCGGAGAGAAGATTAGAAGACGTGAGATGATGCTGAAGTAGATGTACAAGTTCTCTTTAAATTAGGTTGTCTACGAGATTGCTAATCAATCACAGCGATCAATGTTTTACATGTATTCATTTTCAATGTCACATTCAGATTATTTTATGATTTATTGGACATTCTTACATTTTTCTATAGTATGTTATTATATTTTTTGAATATTTTTATTGCACATCCCTATTCTTTTTTTATTTTATTTTATTTACGTTTTGTTTTTTATGTCTGTTATATTTCCTTCTCATATTATTTTTTGATATAAACACAAAGAATTGAAGTAACACCGTAAAAATAGGCAATCAAGATACAAATAAAATAGAACAAATATTCACATGAAAACACGAGTAAAAATAAGCAATAAAATATATAATAAAATAAAATAATATTATATAATGTAAACTTAACATGCAGTGGTTTATTAACTTATAAACACCTGCTCTCCTCTGCTGCACAGGTGAACATCGTGAGCATCGGCACCGTGGCAACAGAGATACAGTCGGCTTCCGTGGACAACATCCTAGCAACGGGAGTCACGGCGACCCTTATTGCTCCTGATGGAATGTGAGTGACACCGAGAAATATACTGACAGGAAGTTAGTTAGTTTCTACAAATGATGGGGACATAAACGCCAAAATAAACTGTTTTTTTAATCCATATTAGATTAACTTTATTGATCTCAAATTGGGATTCCACACATTCATTTCTTTCCTACTCATTTGTATGTTTACCTGGGAAATGAAGTATGTTTTTGGTGATTTTTAATAATACTCTTGCTCTGCAGGTATTTTCCCTTTGAGGACGAACAGAATCACACACTGGTGAGAGAGATTGGGAATGTGACCAAAGGGCTGGAGGTCACCTTCCAGTTCGCTGTGAAACCAGAGTTCATGGAAGGTAAGACACACAAAATCAGTATTAACGTCCACTATCTTATGGTATACATGCACTAATGTGTGTGTGTGTGTGTGTGTGTGTGTGTGTGTGTGTGTGTGTGTGTGTGTGTGTGTGTGTGTGTGTGTGTGTGTGTGTGTGTGTGTGTGTGTGTGTGTGTGTGTGTGTGTGTGTGTGTGTGTGTGTGTGTGTGTGTGTGTGTGTGTGTGTGTGTGTGTGTGACAGTATTCCGTGTGTAGATATTTGTCATTTCAAACAACCCCTATGTACTTTTTCGTTTTTATTTGATTTGAGTAGTTTTGTTCTGTAA